GGCAGCCTGGTGAGTGTGTCCTTCCCGCTAGACCCCGAGGGCGTGTGGCCTTGTGCCGCACCCATTGCCTTGTCTCAGCTCAGCGACTGCGGCTCCTACCTGGTGCTGGCCTGCGAGGACGGGGTGCTCACGCTGTGGGACCTGGCCGAAGGTGAGCCCCACCTCTGCCCGGCACCCGGATGTATCTCCAGGGACCGAGACTCCAGGAGCTCTGAATTCCTGCTGATCTTAAAGGCCCTCGGAAGGCTGGTCCTGCTTTCCCCTCATTCACTAATTCATTCAACAGACATCATCTCCCAGCGCCACACGCCCTAGCCCTCCGCCCGCCCCCAGGCTCCCAGAACAAGCAAGTCTTCCTTCCTGCTCCCCCAGCCCCTGCTGACAGCAGGAACCTCCTTGCTGTTGAAGCTAAGAGACCTGGACAGCGATCAGTTCGAGACCAGCAGCTACTGTGGGTGGGCAGAACGATCACAACTTCACAGTCCCTTCCAATAGCTTGTTTTCATCTTCCTGGATATTGATAAATGCTTCTAAGGCAGTGGCTCTCAACCTTCTGGCCCTTTAAATACAGTTCCTCATGTTGTGACCCAACCATAAAATTATTTTCGTGGCTACTTCATAACTGTCATGTTGCTACTGTGATGAATCGTCATGTAAATATCTGATAGGCAGGATGGTCTTAGGCGACCCCTGTGAAAGGGTCGTTCAACCGCCAAAGGGGTCGCGACCCACAGGTTGAGAACCGCTGTTCTAAGGGGTACTTAGAAGGGGTCCCCTGAAGGGGGCGCTCACTGCTTGATTTTTGTCCTCACGTCCCTCAGGCCCTTGCTGGCTGCAATCCCGCACCAGGGCTGCATCCCTTTGTCCCCCTTTTTCAAAAAATATATTTTTATTGATTTCAGAGAGGAAGGGAGAGGGAGAGAGAGAGAAAAACATCAATGATGAGAAGGAATCACTGATCGGCTGCCTCCTGCACGCCCCACACTGGGGATGGAGCCCGAAACCCAGGCACGTGCCCTGACCAGGAATCGAACCGTGACCTCCTGGTTCCTAGGTCGACGCTAACCACTGAGCCACGCCGGCTGGGCCCTTTGTCCCCTTTCCGACCTGCACGCGTGCCTCTCTCCCCCCAGGACTGCCTCTTGGGGTCATCGCTCTTCCTGAGGTGTGTTCCTGCCAAAGCATTCACTTCCTGAAACACTTCTTGGTCCACGAAGGGCGGAACGTGTACCCTGAGGGGCCGGCGAAGTCCCAAGCGACCTGTGTGGTGCTGTGCACGGACTCGTCCCTCCACCTGGTGACCGCCTCGGGGGCCCGAGGCCCCACCGTCAGCGTGCTGGTGGAGAGGTCGGTGGCTGAGGGGAGGGCGGGGGAAAGGATCCGCCAGCGCTGGTAGCGAAGCAGCGACCACCTCCCAGGCCGGAGCCCCCTTGCCCCACAGCCACCCCTCTCTCCCGATGAGCTGCTCAACATCACGTCTCCCGTATGCGGGTGTCTGTAAGCAGCAGGGTCCCAACAGAATGGTATGATGGCAGACAACCCCGTTCACATCCCACACGGCCAAGAAGAGGGTCACTTCCGCCAAAATAGCCTTTTATCAGTTTCCCCACGGTCCCTCTCTCTTCTTTATTTTTTTTTAAATATATTTTTTATTGATTTCAGAGAGGAAGGGAGAGCGAGGGAGAGATAGAAGCATCCATGATGAGAGAGAGTCACACACTGGCTGCCTCCTGCACGCCCCCTACTGGGGATCGAGCCCACCACTAGGGCATGTGCCCTGGCCTAGAATCGAACCGTGACCACCTGGTTCATAGGTCGATGCTCAATCACTGAGCCACGCCGGCTGGGCGGGCGAGAGAGTCCACCTTTTGATGGGAGTTGGTGTCAAACATCATGGCCCTTTTTTTTTCTCTTTAATCCACAGCGTTTTCCTAAATTCATTCCGTTGCTTTCCTTTAAGAATTACCCACACCCGTGGGCGTGTGTATATGGAGGGAGCGTGTAAATGGCGGCAACCTAGAATCGAACCGTGACCTCCTGGTTCATAGGTCGATGCTCAATCACTGAGCCACACCAGCTGGGCGGGCGAGAGAGTCCACCTTTTGATGGGAGTTGGTGTCAAACATCATGGCCGATGTGTTTTTTTTTCAATCCACCACAGCGTTTTCCTAAATTCATTCCGTTGCTTTCTTTTAAGAATTACCCACACCCGTGGGCGTGTGTCCCCACGCAGCACCTGTAGCTGGGCATATGGAGGGAGCGTGTAAATGGCGCCACGGTCTAAGCATCCTCCCACTTATATTTCAATGCTATTTATTCTGTAACTTGCTCTGCATGTTCATGAGGGTGCCCGGGATGCCGCCCTCGGCTGCGGGCCTCATTCCCACCGCCGCGCTGTGTTCTGCGGTGCACACACCAGTTACTAACACGTTCTCCCAATGGAGACTTGCATTGCTCCCAGTTTCTGCCGCTATGAAGAGTCCCCAACACATCTCTTGCTGCTTATCTGCAAGCGTTTATTCAGGATGCACGCCTGGGAGAGGAGAGGATGAGTGTCTGTCCGTCCGGTGCCCACAGGCCCGTCAAGCACCCGGAGGAGGCTCTCTGCGCCATGGCCCCCGTCCCGGCCTTGCCTGGCATGGTAGGTTCCTGGTGCCTCTCATCCTCTGCAGTGAGGGCTCACGCCGCCTCCTCTCTGAAGGCCATCACGTGCCGGAGCTCACAGCTCAGTGGGTACAGCAGACGAGTCCCCAGGCCACTGCCCTGAGCTGGGTCCCAGGCCGCGTGCCCCGGAGCACGTCGGTTCTCTGTTTTCCCGTTTCCTGCCCGGCGTCTCGTGTCCCACGCTGGGTGAGGGCCCCGTAGAGAACCCCATGCCCATCCCGCTGCCCCCAGGTGCTGACCTTCTGCAGGAACGGCTCCGTGCTCCTGCTGGACGTGGCCCGGCCTCACGTCGTCTGTGCCTTCGCGCCCCCAGGGCCTTACCACCTGGCGGTGCCCTGGAAGCCAGTGTTTGCCGTGTCTTCGAAACACCCGTTCTTCCTGCTCCGAGGTAGGGAACGGGGACCATGAGGGCGCGCTGCCCAGACCTGGGGCCTGCTGACCGCTTCCCTGACTTCCTCAGGGGCCCCTCCCGAAGTCCTAGGGCGACCCCATCCAATCTGCTCCCCCACTCTTTTTGTTTTTTTAATATATAATTTTATTGCTTTCAGAGAGGAAGGGAGAGAGAGAGAGAGAAACATCGATGATGAGAGAAAATCATCCATCAGCTGCCTCCTGCACGCCCCCTACTGGGGATCGAGCCTGCAACCCGGGCATGTGCCCTGACCGGGAATCGAACCGTGACCTCCTGGTTCATAGGTCGATGCTCAACCCCTGAGCCACGCCAGCTGGGCTGCTCCCCACTCTTTGTCCCCCACCACCACCACCACAGCCCCAGAGTCCTCACCAGACACTCAGGAGAGATGCCAAGCAGGCCTTCTCTCTGGACCCCTGCTCCTCCAGACCAAGTGGGCCCTCCCGGCTCAGCCCCGATGACCCGGCCCCACCTGGGCCACAGAGACACAGAGAAGGTGATGCTGACACAAAAGCGCATTCTTGTCTCATCTCAGGAGACCATCCGGATGGGGACAGTGACACCCCAAGTTCTGTCTTCTACTTCAATTTCAACTCCTGCTCACTCCTGGAGAACACCTCAAACAGCTGCTTCATTCCCCAAGCGGACTTGGACGCCGCGGGCTTCCCCCAGGAGTTGTCCCTGGAGAGGAGATGCGAGGGCTTCTTCCAGAAGAGGTAGCTCCCAGCTCTCCCCATCCCTGTCCCAGCTCTCCCCACCCCTGCCCTGGCTCTCCCCACCCCTGCCCCAGGCCTGGCCTGGGCGGGAACAGTGGAGTTGGTTTGAGGGTAAGACCCTTCCGGCATTTGAATCCTCCCCTCGCACTCCGATTCCCGCTCCGATTGGTAGAAGAGGAGGAATGAGCTGAGGCTGATGAGGAAGGAGGGCCTCCAGTTGGTGCGTTCTTCCTGTTAAGATAGGTTTTCCTCTCTCTCTCTCTCTCTCTCTCTGTCTCTCTCTCTCTGTCTCTCTCTCTCTCAAGTATATTTTTATTGATTTCAGAGAGGAAAGGAGAGGGAGAGAGAAATAGAAACATCAGTGATGAGAGAGAATCATGGATCGGCT